GCATAGCCCTGCCACGTGTCGCCTCCTGACCCGCCAGCAGTTTGACGGCGCCGTCCGTTGCCGTCAGACGGAAAACTACGCCGACGGCTAAACTATGCCGACGGCTACGCCAGGGCCGTCGGCATACCCCCCTATGCCGACGGCATTATTATGCCGACGGTCTGACAGGAGTACGCTGACGTAATCTAGACTGACGGCTCTATGCCGACGGCCCGTGGCCGTATGCATAGACCGCGAGTCCGGTAGTGTGAACAAAGGCGACGGAGAGGCTCTCACCAGGGAAGATCTGACGAAGATGAAGTTCACATGGCGAGTCGCGCAGGAGATGCTACGAACCGTCCCTCCGATCTTCGGCAACTTCAGAAGAGCGCTGGAGGACGTCGAGTTCGACGGCTACCTCATCCCAAAAGGATGGCAGGTCATTTGCTAGTTCGTAATTCACCACCTAGCTTAGCTACCACAGTCGTCGGAGGCCGAGAAATAAGCTGATCTGAAAGCTTTCAGGTGTTCTGGACGGCGAACGTGACGCACATGGACGCGAGCATCTTCCACGAGCCGGCCAAGTTCGACCCGTCCAGGTTCGAGAACCAGGCAGCGCCGCCGTGCTCCTTCGTCGCCTTCGGGGCCGGCCCGAGGCTATGCCCCGGGATAGACTTCTCCCGGATCGAGACGCTGGTGACGATGCACCACCTGGTGAGGCAGTTCAGATGGAAGCTCTGCTGCAAGGAGAACACCTTCGTGAGGGACCCCATGCCGTCGCCGCTGCGTGGCCTGCCCATCCAAATCCAGCACAGGACCTCCCCTCCATCGTGATCGTGCTTCATAGCAATTACTATCGTGATCGTGCTTCACAGCAATTACTGTCATCGTCGTTCGCATTGCATTCGAAAATGTAGCTGCTGCTGCACGTGTATGTGTGATGAGTAATAAATCAAAAATAAATCAACATTACTATCATGACTTTTCTTGTGTGCCATCTACTATATTACTAAGCTCCCTAGGATTGGAGGCCTCTCGTTCAATTGAGGCCATCAATTTAAAATTGGGTCACCGATTTTGACCGAGTCAACAATCTCTCACTCAATTTAATTTAGAATGCCCTCTAATTTTGGAGCTCTCTCATTCAAATGAGAAATTAAATATTGAATTTGGTTCATGATTTTGACTGGGTCAACATTTTTTTTCAAATCAATCTAAAGCAACCGACCTATAAAATCATACCAATCCCGCACACTCTCATCACTTAGAAAAAAGAAGCACCAACATGTGATACTATAACACCAATATCGTACATGCAGTCATCGGCGCAGAATATTTCTCCACATAAGTATGAATTGATTAGCAGATAACACAAAATCACACCACGAAAAGCCTGTCAAAACACTAAATAAATGAACTTTGACCATGTTCAGAGCCAAAAATATCGGCATCCACAATACTAAATAAATGAGATATGAAAATTCATTCCATGATGAATCTAAAAATCTGATTTTATATTGTGGATATTGATATATTTCCACATAAATGTGGTCAAACATAAAGAGGTTTGACATTTTAAAAAACTAATACACCCTATATTTTGATATAAATGGAGTAAAAAATTTATGAAACTCAATGACAGCAACGGCGCAGCAAAGCGCGCCCAACTCTTCTAGTTTATTTTTAACTCAAGACAAGTAGTCGAGGTGTTGTAGACGTTGGTAACATGTGCACCTGAGCTTTTGTTTTTTGTTTTTGATAAAAGCGATTTTTATTGATTCATATAATGTACTAACAAGTGGATAAAAACAAAATGAGCACATACCTGGTCTATGCACAATTAGAATATGCACAAAAGAGTTTAAAAACACAAACACAAACGATCACATCGGCAAGAAGCAAACTCCGAGGCTATGCCTATGCACATAAAAAACAAAAAAGAAATGCAGAAAAGCAATTATGATCCACGCTGAACAACTGTTGTGCCAATAAAGATGATGCAAATGAACACAATCCGGACATGGACACAACTATATGAACTGAAAACCATGCACACAGTAGGCAAGCAGCCCAACCGCCAAGGCCATCCGCGGAACCAAGAATATGTGAGACGCCCGAGCGGCTCCGGTCATTGATCAAACTATTGAGAAGAGACGATACGGCCCAAATCCCACATTGGAGATGCTACGGTGATCTCACGCATCCATACACAAGTGTATGTTGATGATAAATCTCTGTGTTATCTCACATCGCTAGCCTTTGTTGCACCTTCATATCCGCAACTAGCCATCACTATCTCTATCAAACATGAACCGACCACCCCCTTTCCAAAAAAATAAAATAACATGGCCACCCAAACGAAAACAAATTGGAAAAGTAAAAAGAAAATAGAACATCATAGTCAAATATGATACTTGTGTACAAATCAGACTTGCAAGAGCAAGACATATTTTCCCCTATTGATCCCAAATTATGATATCATTCTTTCTTTTTTGGGGAAAAGAAGAATTTATTAATAATGGGTAGAACTAAATTTATGCGGACGATGCGGCGGTCTTCATGGCACCCATCAAGCACGATATTGACCACCTCTCCAACATCCTTAGTCTTTTTGGCGATGTCACCGGTCTAGCCACCAACTTTCACAAGAGCTCGGTCATCCCAATCCGCTGTGGGCACATCAACCTGTCGGACATCCTTCAAAACCTTCCGGCAGCGCGCGGATCCTTCCCCATGAAATACTTAGGCCTCCCGCTCTCTATGTGGCGGCTTAGGAAGGTGGACTTTCAGTTCTTGGAGGATAAGGCGGCGGCAAAGTTGGTCCCTTGGGACGGGCAAAACATCACGTCTATGGGACGCACCGCCTTGGTCAAGTAGGTGCTTGCCTCCCAAGCATATACTTCATCACTACGCTCGTCGTCCCCACAAGCACCCTCAAAAGTCTCAACAAGCTTGAGCGAGCGTTCCTTTGGGAGGGAATAGACAAGACCACCGGGGCCAAATGCAAGGTTAATTGGGACACCGTTTGTCGCCCAATTGCCAATGGGGGTCTTGGAGTGCTAACACGGAGAAATTTGCTAGGGCACTGAGGATTCGTTGGATTTGGTTTGAGTGGAAGGAGCCAACTAAGATGTGGGTTGGCATGGGCAACCCGTGCGATAACGCAGACTACAACTTCTTCTATGCCTCCTCAACTATTATCGTGGGAAATGGTGCGTGCACCCCCTTTTGGGACTCTCCGTGGGTGCACAACCGCAAACCCATGGATTTGGCCCCTCTCATCTATGCGGCGTCAAAGAGGAAGAATTGGAAGGTACGGGAAGCACTAAAGGATGGCGCTTGGGTTAAAAAGATCAAGATGACGTCCGATTTTTCTATAGAGCACTTCAGACAATTTCTCGAGCTTTGGGCCACCATCCGGGATTTTCACCTACAGGAGGATATTGACGACGACATTGTTTGGAAGCATTCTACTAGTGGCCTCTACACGGCGGAGTCCGCCTACAAAGCGCAAATTCTCGGCCTCATTCGCTCTCCCTTGGAGCATGCAATGTGGAAAATCTGGGCTCCACCCAAGGTCAAGTTCTTTGCTTGGCTGGCCATCCAAAATAGAGTCTGGACTGCGGATCGATTGGCCAAGCGCGGTTGGCCTAACTGTGGCTCATGCCCCTTATGCATGCGTGAGAATGAATCGGTTGACCATCTCTTCTTCAAATGTCGTTTCGCCATTCGCCTATGGGGCTTGGTCAAGGCGTGGCTGCAACTCATTCACATTGACACCTCTACTTGGCCCCTGAGGCATTCCACCTTAGACTGGTGGCTTGGGTTGACTGATGCTTCCGTCCCCAACCGGAAGGCCATGGCCTCGCTCACCATGCTCACTACATGGACGATCTGGAACGAGCGAAACGCTCGTGTATTCCGCAACATGGCCGCTCCGCCTACGGTTCTTCTCGACAACATCAAAAGGGAGGCATCATTTTGGGTCGCCGCCGGAGCTAAGAAGCTAGGGTCCATCATGCCGGGAGAGTGATTCTTCCGTGTATTCTTAAGGGGTGTTTGTAACACGAACTCTATTCTCTCTTAATTAATATACGTGGCAAATCTTTTGCCCATTTTCAAAAAAATAAAATAAAAAAATGAGCACAGACCTGGTCTATGCATAAAAGAGTTTAAAAACACAAACACAAACGATCACACCGGCAAGAAGCAAAGTCCGATGCTATGCCTATGCAGATAAAAAACAAAAAAGAAATGCAAAAAAAGCAATTATGACCCACGCTGAACAACTGTTGTGCCAAGAAAGATGATGCAAACGAACACAATCCGGACATGGACACAACGATATGAACTGAAAACCATGCACACGGCAGGCAAGCAGCCCAACCGCCAAGGCGATCCGCGGAACCAAGAATATGTGAGACGCCAGAGCGGCTCCGGTCATTGATCAAACTATTGAGAAGAGATGATACGGCCAAAATCCCACATTGGAGATGCTACGGTGATCTCACGCATCGAGACACAAGTGTATGTTGATGATAAATCTGTGTGTTATCTCACATCTGCAACTAGCCATCACTATCTCTATCAAACATGAACCGACCACCCCTTTTCCAAAAAAATTAAAATAACATGGCCACCCAAACGAAAACAAATTGGAAAAGTAAAAAAAATGGAACATCATAGTCAAATATGGTACTTGTGTACAGATCAGACTTGCAAGAGCAAGACACATTTTCCCCTATTGATCCCAAATTAAGGTACCGTTCTTACTTTTTTAGGAAAAGAAGAATTTATTAATTTATTAATAATGGGTATAAATAGTACTACCTCCGTTTCGGTGAATAAGTCATTCACGTAGTTCTAGGTTGACGATTTAACCATCTAAATATGTATTATATGTGATAAAAAATATATATTTAGAAACTATATCCTTGTAGAAATCTAGTGATATACTTTTCATGACATATAACATATGTTTAATTCCTCAAATCGATGACCTAGAACTGCGCGAATGACTTATTCACCTAGACGGAGGTAGTACTCCCTCCGTTCCAAAATACTTATTGTGGTTTTAATTCTATTTACATGCCACACTGTGCTTTGTAGGAATACACAATTAATTCTATGCTGAAGCTCCAAAATCCGGATAGTATCTTCTTTTGTTCTTGCGGCTTTGCTCTTGTTGTTTCATCAGATGGGCTTATCCCCTGTCCTGCCCTGTTACAAGTACGCACGCTTCTGTGCTATGGGAACAACGGGGAGAGGCAGATAGCCCTTTTTCTGCAAGCACATCACTGTCTCGTACAAGCTTTCCCTCAACGGAGTGAACTCTAATCCGAGCTCCCTCAGCCTCCGGTTCGAGAACTTGTATGGCTTGGCCATGGAATTGTCGTCGTCTTCGCACCTGAGAGGGCACGCCAACAAAATCGATGGTGAGCAAGCAAGCAACGCCCAGAATCGAATCAAACAGGTTCAAATTATTGTACTACGTACTTGGCGGTTATGTTGTACTGAGGAAAGAGGTCGCCGAGGAGCTGAAGGAAATGCGCGCGGTGCAGCACGGCACCGATGCAGAGGTAGCGGCCGCGCGCGTCGGGGTGCTCGTAGACGAAGACGTGCGCGCGGGCGACATCACGGACGTCGGTGTAGGCGGCGACGGCATTCGGGTAGGTGGGCTTTGCGCCGGTGAGGTAGCGGGCCACGTGGCTGCTGCTGAAGTTGAGCGACTGCTGCAGCATGGGGCCCATGGTCATGGACGGCACCACCACCGCTAGCTCCAGGCCCCTCTTGGCCGCCTCCTCCGTCGCCGTGATCTCCGCCATCATCTTGGCGCAGCAGTACATGTTCTGCACAGGAAGATCAGGTGAGTTCAGTTCACTGGCAAGTGGCGACAATGATCGGGTGGGATGGAGCAGAGTATTCTTACCCCTGTGTTTTTGCAGTACTCATAGTCGCTCCAGCACGACTCGTCGAGCACTGCGTCGGGCCTGCGTTTGGGGTCCATGTGCACGGCGCCATAGGACGAAGTGAACACCACGCGCCGCACGCCCGCGTCCGCCGCCGCTCTGATCACGTTCCTCGTCCCCTCCACGGCGACCGGCACGAGGTCCTGCAAGGCAGCAGAGCAGAGCACGAGGTAAGCCACTCAGTACGCGGCGCTTGTTAGAATCGCAAGAAGTGAGCAGAGCAGAGGAAGTGAACTGACCGGGTCGTTGGAGACTGGCGAGGCGACGTGGAAGACGCCGTGGCAGCCGCGGAAGGCGGTGCGGAGGCCGTCGTAGTCAAGAACGTCGGCCCGGCACAGGGTGAGCCTCTCCTCGGCGCCCTCCATCGCCAGCAGGTGTGCGTTCTTTTGGTCAGCTGCACAAACGACTCCACCATTAGATTATCTACTACAGAATTAATAGGGATCCATCATCGACTGACGCACGGTGTAAGTAAACAGGGACTTACCGGGGTCCCTGGCGGTTCCCCTGACGCGGTAGCCGCGGAGGAGGAGCTCCTTCACGACCCAGGAGCCGATGAAGCCCCCGGCCCCCGTGACGCAGACCAGCTCCTGCTCCGGCTGCCGCTGCTTCATCTCGCCGTTGTCGGTGGCCTTGTCAATGGACGGCATGGTGGATTGGTGTCCGGTGACCACGGTGGTCGGCCGATCGATGTGTGGATGCAAGCTTGCTGCTTAACAAACTACACGGGCTAGCAGTACGAGTTTGCGTTTGCTTGAGGCTGCTGCTGATCGATGTGTGTTCTGTTCGGTTAGCGTGCTCCACTATTTATACTGGAAAGTAGAGGCACCGTTGCACGACAGCACAGCAAAACTGCGATGCAATACTACCTGGGCTCGAGTGCGTGAGAGGGTAGGCTGCAGCTCGTTTTGTTTATGGAGTGATACAGCCAGCCAGCGACTGGATATTCAGCGGCGCGACCCGGTGAGTGGGTTTGGGGCTCAGTCGACATTGGAGCAGGGCAGATTCCGTTTTCGCGAAGCGAATCCTTCCTGCTGCCACGGAAAGGTCCACGACCTCGCGCGTCGTCGTTCCATGACAAAAGCACCGCTGGTTTTCCTTGCGCCGTATTGCTATTGAATTATGTCTTGGATTCCTCTTTTGCGATCTGTGTTTGAATTTGACTTCCCGTTCAGGTAAAGAAGTATATGGGCGTGTTTGGTTGCCGTGTGCTACACTACCTGCGTTGTATATCCTTCTCCACTTAGCCTGGCTCTAAAAAAACAACCTCATATAGGACGTGGAGTTTGTACACCCAGGAACAAATGCTCCTGGTGTGAACAGTAAAATAAAAAAAAATTCAAAGAAATGTCAAAAAAATCTGAATTTTTTTGTGGCATACTTATACAAATGTTTGTTCTTCACGTAAAATTTCATCGCGAAATCACATTGGTGGAACGTGTGGTAAAAAAAACAAAATCGATGCTCTAAAAATGTTACTTACAAAAGCATTTTGGAGCTCTGATTTTTTTTTTTTTGACACGACTTCTACGAATGTGATTTCCTGATGAAAATTTTCATGCACAAGAAACACTTGTGAAAGTATGTCACAAAAAAAATTCAGAATTTTTTGAATTTTTTTTTATTTTTTTTATTTTACTGTTTACACCAAGAGCATTTGCTCCTGGGTGTAGAATGGTACTTTCGCCTCATATGTGACATCTACGAGTTGTTTGGTTGCCTGCATATGGACTTCCTGCATTAGGAGATCAACTTTGGCACGTTGTTTGGTTGCCTGCATTGTCTCGGCGCATGCTATTACACGCTGTTTGATTGCCCGCATGAGGTATGATTAAGAGCTAGCACTTGCACTTAGCACACAGGGTTAAAAGCTAGCAGAGGAAGGGGGAGAAGAAATGTAGTGTGCGTCGGACCATGGCGACTGCAGTGGATAGTGGCCGTGGCGCCGTGTCCGACATGACGAGCATGGAGTCATGGACGAGCGACCCCGTCGGCGGCACGGCGAGTGACACCGTCGGCGAACTAGTTGCGGTGCTCGCACAAAGACAGTGGACAGAGGAGGAGAATGAAGTACTCGCGCCATCGTATCGTCAGTGCAGTGGACGAGAGAGGAGGCCGAGATGATCGACGCTGGAAACGACACCAGTGTAGTAGGGCGAGAGAGAGGAGGCGAAGATGACCGACCCCGTCGGCGGCGCGGCGAACTGCAGTGTGCGGGGAGGAGGACACAAGAAAGCAGTGCGCGCCATTGCAGCGTCAGTGTAGTAGGAGGACGACAGAGAGTAGGCCGAGATGAGCGACGCCAGAAACGACTCTAGTGTAGTAGCACGCGGGCAAGGAGATCAAGGGGAAGGGCTACTGCGTCGAGAGGGACGAATAGGAGGGCTCTGAGCAGAGGACAAAGGAGCTCGACATGGCGGTGTCAGTGCAATTCAAAGAGAGATGAAGCTGCGATCGTCAAAATCAAAAACTTACAACATGAATGTTGTGAGGAACTGCGAGATTAGGCTGTTGGTCAAAGAAAATTTCAAATGATCGATCGTGCGCGATGAATCTGACAAAATTCGTCCAGAATAGCTCCAAACGAGAACACGAGATTAAGAACTTACGACCGACGAAACTACGAACCGTTCGCCTGAATGGAACTGTAGCATTGAGGTGCATCTTTTTCATGTAGATCTTACCTCGAACCAAAGCACCGTTGTGTAGATCAGAGGGACAAGAAAGAGAGGATATTAGAGAGAAGCTTACTGGAGGTTGAAGAAGACCTCACGTAATCATCTCGCATCCCTCCCATCTCCACTCGTGCAAGGGCCCGCTCGCTTGCGCTCGCCTCGGCTTGGCTCGCAAGAAACTGCCGATTTGAGTGTTTCCAGTGAGTCAGGGCCAGAGGAGCTTTTAAGTTTCGTGCTATGCAGGCCCAACAGTAAAACCAGGCAATCAAACAGCCCGTTCCCTTCCCGCGCGGGCCTGGTTGGGCCTTATGCAAGAAACCAAACACGGCCTATGTGTTTTTTAGAGCTAAACGGGTCTAACGTTATTAACTCTTGACAGTGTACTTTGTCCGCTACAAAAACCACTAAAGCTATTTTTAAGGGGATGAAAACTGATGCAACTTTTGTTAAGTGGGTGATGCAACTTTTGTTAAGTGGGTACTCAGGATCAAAAAGTGTTAAATGATGTAATTAGCGTCAAAAAACAACAAAGTGAGGGAGAAAAAAAACTAAATTCACTCTAAAATAAATTATGTTATGATAACTTTTTTGCCGGAGAAACTTCTGATCTATTCATAATCAATCATGGCAGTATAAAGACACTCGAGGTAGCAAAAATTATAACGAGGTCCATGGACCACCTAGCGATAACTGGACCGTGCTTTGCAATAGATGTTTTCATCATGTTGAATGATAATATATTTTGTGGTTAGCTATCTCAAAGAAAATGATAATATTTTTGAAGCCATGTTCTTTCTTTAATCCCAGGCACTACCACAGTGATCTATGGTGTCGGGTTGTGGTTTGTAAAAAGAATGTAGCCAAGTGAGGTGGTGGAGCACCCTAGGGTCGTCACCATGGTATTGGCTCCATCAGCAAGAGATAAGAGGGTCAAGTAGTATACAATTTGCCACTAAATTGTATACTACTTGACCCTCTTATCCTTTGCACCTTTAGGTTTGAGTCGAATGACCAACATGCAATGGAGGAGAACAGGCACAAGGAAGCGCCAACACCATCCACAAGAGAAGCTTGTAAGACAAGAACGAAGAAATAAGGAGTACCTCAGACGAAGTCAACCAACAGCCATCGGGAGAGTCAGACATTCTGACAGAATGACAACCCAACATTCGACTTCACGTTTGCTCTTTGGACACTGTTGGAATTTCTGACAGGAATATACGACAACCTCCGACACGTCGGACAAGATATCGGATCACCTGTCCGACTTATCTAGACCCCTTTGAACCATATCGGTCGTAAGTCGAATAGAGGGTGCCACAGGCCTGTTACCTTTCCCCGCGTACCTATCTCTTCAAGGCTAAACTACACATACCATTCTCCTCCTCCTATCTTGGGTTAACAAAATATAAACTTAATCTTGAGAGAGCTTTGCTCAATCTACCTCCTCCTTCGGGACCAAGACCCCTTGCGAGAGAAGAATCTTAGGATTACAAGACCTCTTACGAGGGAAGATTCTTGTAGGAATACAAGACCCCCATCTCTGCTAGATATTTGGGAATACTATTTCTCAGGAGCTCCAATTCCCCTTGAATTTGGAGAGGAATCTACCTTGGTAATTTTTACTTTGTTATTGTTTGGATCTTGGAGTGTATCACCTTTTGCATTGGGATTTTGACTAGTTGTCTGTGAATCTTGACTATGAGAGCAATTTCCTCTTGAGTGTTGCCCCTTGTTCCTCGTGTTCAACCTCAATTCCACCCTTAATCCGTGAAGATCGGGCCACTCCGACGGCTTGCACCATATCACCTGTTACGATCCGGCATAAAGTCAACTAAAGCTCACTGTACCCTGTCTTTTCTACAAGACTCACTGTATGCATGGACGGGGGTGTATCTGGTGCACCAGAGCATCTGATGGGACAGACGCACCCAATCTCATAAATATCATTTGAAACAATGAAAGACTAGGAAATTTCATGAAAGTAAAATACGTATCTAGCCCGGTATAAAATTTTGGGTCTAAATTCAAAATGCATATATAGAAAGTAAAAATCAAATCAAATCACAGTACAAACAATAGCAAATGCGGAATGGACTTGAATATGGCCCGTTTTCTTCATGTAAATGGATTCAATACTTATTTCTGGTACTATGTTCGAAATTTAAATGTAAAATCTATGGCACAACAAATTCGAATTTTGTAGCATCTCTTAGCGCACTTACCTGTGTGGTGGACTTGAGCTGCGCCCGCCGGAAAACGAGAGACGTGGGCCGGGGTGACAGCCCACCGGAGCCGTCGCTGAAGGAGCAGCACGAGTTGCTTCTTTCTTCTTGGCTGGCGCGAGGAACAAGCCGTCAAAGCACGCCGGACCAGAACAAAACGGGGGTATTCTTCCAGTACGTTCTGAAAAGAATCTCAAACATGGGGCAGTAGTACCATCAGTGTCACTACGGAACCATCAGCGGTTCCCGTCACGCTCCCGAGCATGTGCCCGGCTGCTGGAAGCGGAAGGCAGGCCGTCCCAGTCAACTCGACTAACACCACTTTCTGAATATTGCGGCGTATCGGTCGGACTGTTTTGATCAGCAGAGGGGATAATATATAATACACCCTTCCATCCATATTTTAAAGTTGTACTAAAGCTGTGACACATAATATTGATCGAGGAAAATATGGTCTTTTCATAAGTATGTCCTGAACCAAGTTCGAAGCAGTTTTCAGGTTCACTGTAGGGGCCAACAAGTTTGAGTGTTAATGCCAGGTTGCCAAAGTATGTGAGTGAAGTGAGTCAACTCGAGTCAGGCCATCTCCAACACGGATCATTCCCACCGGCCGTTTGAATAATTTTAGTACAGATCACCAAAACGAATGGTATCGGTCCGAATGTTTGAAATCCTATAAAATGGCTCCAAACTGAGGGAGCTGCGTCTCGCATCTTAGACTCCGATACCACAGATGATGCGGAGCATCTC